AGAAGCTTTCCTACGCGTGTTTTGTTGTCAGCGTTTTTCCAATCCCATATCAGTTTTCGTCCTAGGGCTGTCTGGACGATGTAACTGACCGAAACATCAGGAAAAGAGTAAATAAACAATCTTTTATTACCGCCTCAAAATTTAAAGAATTCCTTACTGTCTGCCAGTTTATCATAAATTAAGGTTGCAATGTTAGATTTGAACTAGATATTTGCTTATTCAGTGAATTGGCGTTTGTGTGACTAATTTTTGCTTTCTCCAATTAAGACAATTAAATTAGACGCAATTTAATGCTAGTAGCGACTTAAAATATATGAACTGAAGTTGAACAAACAGAAGTAAATCAAATCTTAGCACACTTTATTTTAATGAAAATTTACTAAAATTGATTTTGATCAGTTGTTCACCTATTAGAGATTGTAGCCTATAAGCCTCTTTAATTAAAATAAAAGTAATAAATCTAAGTCGTTTTTAAGAACTATACATTTCGATATTTTTATTGACTCTATGGTAATGTTAATCCATTTTTTGTGAACAATTTCATTTTAGTAACCCCCCTATTTAATATAAATAGGCAAAATATACCTCCATTGTAATAATACTTGCTTACTTTCAAAATTCATTTACCTAACTATCACATCTAACGATGTTTCTTTCAGGTCAAGTGAATTTTTTTCACTTGCAAAAACGTTTGGCAATCGAGGTTATGATGAGGTTAAGGAGAAGCAGGAAATCACTTGACAGATTTTAACCGGATCCTGCTTGCAATGTAATTTGAAATGCAAAATCCTTTGAAAGGTGAGGAAGAAGAATAAGAACAGAAGGTCTGGGAAATTCGATTTCCTACTGGAATTTATAAGACTGTTTGTTAAAAATATTCCCAATCGCATTTAGCAGGCGTTGAGCACATTCAGGTTGCTCCAAAGTTGTTCTCGTGTGGAACTAGCATTCTTCCGTCCATTTACAAATCTCTGACCGTTCCCACCATTGATTGTGTATGGATGAGTATTGATTTGGTGACTTTTGCACCGACAGTCTAGTATTAAAGCATAGAATCCACTTAAAGAAGGCCATATCGATTTCGGAAAGTAACTAGTTTCTCATTGCAACGATTCCTTAATTAAAAGCTACAGTCCCATACGTTAAATTATGAAGATGCATTGTTTATCTTTAATGGCGACTGACGTTAATATTCGAGAGTTCTAGAGAATATATTTCGAACACTTAATGCCACTCGATTTTGTAATTATTAGTGAAAAACAACTGACTAGTTTTATTATCCATGACAAGGAGGATTAGCGAGAGAGCGCGAGAATGGGGGAGAGAGGGATAGATTTTTCTTCTCACCTAACCTCCGACATAACCCAAACACAAATGCCGAGAAACTGTCGCAAACATGTTTTGTCGGGTTCTCTGTGTGTGTTTGAAAGTAAATGAAGCACAGCTCATTACTTTCATTTGAACAAATAAGACCACATGGCTTCGGTGTGGAGTGCCAAAATACGAGGATTTTTCTCTTGAAATCAGGTTTCTACATGACACGTGTAGATGCTCCTTTGGCTTGATCGTTTTCGCCAGGCTTGATTGCAGTTTTCAGGATGTTCGGTTGACAGCTTCAATGGATGCCAATTTTCAACCGAAAAAAAAATTGTACTCACTCATTCTCTCAGTTCCCATCTGATCCATTGTTGTCCGATTTTAAAAGAAGATGAACACTCTGAAGAAACCAAGTTAAGTAGATTTGGTTACAATAACTGCTGTCATATTTGCCAGATGATTTTGATAGTTAGTTAAGCTCCAATATTACTTGCGTGTTAACCACTAGAGATGGTAAAATGGTATTTATTTCCCACTATAATAACTTTCAGTTTTAAGCCCTGATTTTTTCTCTCCGGCCATTATGAGATAAGTGGAAATGAAAAACACGATTAAGTCACCGTAAACTGTCACCTAGTTCATTAGAGATGCACTTTTATGGTGCACGATAGCATCAATAGACGTTGTAATCTTTATCAAATGCACGCCGTCATATACACAGTAATAAAATTCAGGAGAAAGTTATGAAAGTTATGTAAAAATTCAAAAAAAGTATTTGCGATGGTGTTGGAGGGAGGGAGGGAGGGTAGAGAAGGAAAGATTGATTTTCAGTTTGCGTGACAACAACTCGAATGGATGCCGGGTGCAGATAGAACGATATAAAATGTACAGTCGCCTTTCAACTGTCTTGTGCTACAAAGCTTGAAAGCATACTTGTCTAAATTCAGACTCGCTTAATTCTGCGGAAGATGACAAATAGAATTCAAGTTGAGGTATTGGAAATAATAATATTTTTCAAGGCCAATAAAAGCCTGTCGGAATAAGCCCCTCTCAAAATCGCCTAACCAACAAGCGAAATTAGTTGTTAAAACACTTCTTCTTCAGTAATCTCAAAAAAATTTTCAAATCATATAATAATTGGTCAACTTGTACAAAATTAGTTTTAAGCTTTATTCATGCATAAATATCATAACGAAGTAATTAGCAATAAAGTAGTAAAAGGAAGATGGAGTCCAGAAGAGGCACCAAGAGCAATTAGCTATGTAAAATTATGGAAACATTTAGTTACTTGTGTTCGTTCCAGGAGTAACTTTCACTTTGTAATGCCAAATACTCAGAATTCATGAATTATGTCCAGATTACTAAGGGCAGTTCAGTTATTTCGGTGTTTATATCTAACCATCTATAACCTTTAATATTTTTTTAGTACCAAGAGCAGGAAGAGAAGACTAACAGTATTTTTTAAAATACAAGTAGCCACTGGAGTAAATTGAAGTTGTTCTCTATTATGGATTTTTCCTGAATCGATATCAATGAGCTTCATTGGCAAAATCACTAATTTTGAATCCTATGTCCAGATATGCTATTCAGTCCTCGTAATTAGGCTAACTGTATTGTCCACGGAAAGGCAACAGATATTTTACAAGTTTTATTTGCGTGGAATGAATATGTCTATGGCAAGAGGTCGTTAGAAGGCAGATGAGACATTCACAATTTTTTGCTATTTCAGTTCAAACAGAAGTTTACTTAGGTATATTTAAGCCAAATACGCTATTAATCCTTTTACAATTTAAACCCAAACTTTCCATCGTATTTCATCCATTTCTATTCTTCTTTTAGAATATCTCTAATAGTTTTGGCTTGCAGAACGGATAAGTACACATTTTTGAAAGCTTACAATTACAAAGCCCATTATAGTATACAGTGCTGCCCAGAATGAAGCATTGCATCATTGAAGTATTAAGCATAGTGGGTATAACGTAAATATATCAGATGTCTTGGTTGTAAATATAAGTCAAACGATAAAGAGAACGAAGTCCACAAATTTCACCGTCCCTCAACTTAAAATGTCAGAGATCGAAAAAATTTATCGGGATACATCTTTATAACACTTATTGAATTTATTGCTCGATTAACAGATATATGGCATAATGATACCTCCTTTTCCATTTATTGGCTTGAACGCTATATGATTCGCTACTGCAACCTAATTTACAAACAGCTATCTTTTTTATTCCCTTGAAGTGTAAAATCGTATCTAAACTGGGAAAAATGGATAAAAATCCAACTCTAAACGATGGAGGACAGAAGTGACAACGTCCGAATAATATGTCTGAGTGTGTCTGAGGAACATAGAAATGGGACAAAATTCATAAAAATGCATGCTCAAGTAACCAGAAACGTGTGTCTAGCATCCAGGACTTTGTACAAAGGAGATAGGGCGAGAGAGAGCTTTGGAACAATTTAAAATTATTCAGACTGACACAATAGATTGAGTGATGATGAGTAACCACTGAGTGACAGTGACACTTCAGTGGTTATGGGAACACATTTACTTGAGGCAAATTTCCTCGCCTTTTTTTATCGATATGGATTCAAATCCCACTCGTGCATATCTTGTGATTGAAGTGTCTAAACAATGGCCAATTTTTTTCACAGTGAATGAGCTTCAATTGATGAAAGAAATTAAGGATGCTGTCTTTCAATTTGGATTAATAGAAATTGGGCCTGAATAACAAGGTCATGACAAAGCAACCGTATATCACAAGTTATAATTATCGGGAAACTTCTAGACAACAACTAATATTCTGAAACCTTCGAGGAACCTTTTGCTTTAAGGTTGAAACAAAATATGGTGTCTTTATTGCAAACTTGAAACCTACAAGGGAACATTCATATTGCCCAACATACTGTCACCTTTTATAAGCACATTTAAGCAAAAATCGTTTTGAGCTCAACATATCTCAGTCTTTCATTTAACCTGCTTCATTTTGTCTAACTGCAACAAATTAGGTTACAGAGCAAACAACCTGCATTCTATTTCAATCAATTTTAACAACTAAATTTAGGAATATAAAGTCGACTTAATTTCACGATCATAAAATGATCTTCAACAAGTGTTAGGTCCTCTAAACGTGTGATTTTGTATTTGAGAAATTTAATTGCAAAATTCACTGTACAATTATAACCTAAACTTACAAAAATTAAAACGAACTCCAAGTTAAGATTGCATGTCAAAATTTATTCCAGGTTCACACTGTACGCTGCTATGGTCGGGAAATTAACAAAGTATGTCTGGATTCTTATCTTAATTTGCGCTTACAATTATTCACAACACCATAAACATTATAACTCTTATTTAGCCCAAACCAAGATGTTGAAAGATTGCTACAAAGTGTGATTTGATTATTTTAAAGTCACACATTCAAAAACCAATGATTTTCTGCTCCTTTTTGCATTATAAAGGTAATTCCACACATTATTGACCGTTATAAATCTCTTATGTCATGAAATAATGTTTGGCCTTTAGAGCATAAGGCTTATGTAGCACGTGACAAAAGAATTATTTGCAACTTAAGGTCTTGTATTAATACTGGTTAGTCAATTATAAATTGCTTTTGACATTGGGTAAAATTTGCTAATGACTTCATCGTTTTTCGAAGAGAATTTCTAGAAATAAAATTTTAACTCACTCTCTTTACTAGAATTGTCATCCCAAGATACTTGAAAGGCTTCGTGAACTCTAAAATAGTGACCCGTTCAGGCGTGATAGTCATTGGAGCAACAGAGAGGTCTGCCAATCCTGTTGTCAATTCGCCAACAATACCTGACCAGACCTTTGTCTCATTCATCGCACTGACCAACTCTTCGCCCATCTGTCCATCACCGACCAGGTGCAACTCATATGTGAAGGAAGTCGCATTCTCATGAGGACCTGACGGTCGGTTTGCCAGATGCCTTAGAAGATCGATGCAATAGCCATAGCAACAGTATTCAGCCACTCTGCCTAAATAGGAAAGCAAGATGCATTATTAAAATCAACAATCGAAATCTACTTTCAAAAACAATTAAAGCACACTTATTTGAATGCCATGTAGTGCACATCACTTGATTTGCATCATTCTGTTAAAATTTCTGAACAATTAACTCTAACATTAGTTGATACGTTGAACGGCGCTTTAAATTTTACCGATCATAAAGATGGCTAGAACGTTTTCTATTAAAATTTCTGGCTAGTTAAACTGCGACATAGCAAATTCTCCACTGGCAATCGAATGTGCACCACATTAAAATGACAAGAACTCACAAATTAATGTCTTAGGACTAAGGGTAAGAGAATATTGATCCAACTCAATCTAATAAAGAGAACGAAAGACCCTTACCTCCTTTATCATATTTAAGAATAAAAACCCTTGCTTCCGCTAATTCTACTAATTTTTATGAATAAATACTGCATAGATGGTTCTTAAATTTGGCAGTTATTATTCATCATATCTAAAATTCAGGTAATAAATTCTTGAAAATTACTTAATTACTGCAATATAATTGAATAACCGTAGTGTTTAGCGAAACTTTCCCTTGAGGTAAAATATCAAAAGGATTCCCATTCAAAATCGAAAAGGTTGAACCTGAATTAAAATACGTTCAACCTTTATTAATGCTTTGTGCCTCGAACTAAATTTCTATTCCATCAATAAAATATAGCAGCTTCGGAAAAACGGTCAATTTTTGAAAACAGTATCAATAGATAACCAGAAATTACCAAAGTATATATGTTGCGCACCAATCAATAATATAAAGTCATATTTTAAAATTATTTAACTTTTTATCGATTGAAGACTAAGGATTAAGAATGACAGGGGTACAGTTTTTGCTACTGCGAGATAATATTTTAAACTAACCGGATAATAGATAAGACTGGAAGCAAAAATTACGGCGGAAAACGATAAACTAGATCGTCGTTAAGCGAGTTTTATTTGAGCTTTCTTTTAATGCTGGCGTTTATTGCGGTAATTCAACTTTTGCGAACTTAAAATTAAATGATGGAAAATTAAATTTTATCATAACGAGTTAGACTTCAAGTGGAACAACGTTTTTAGCTTTTGTAAAGAAATCATTTGTTGTGAAGAATCTACACTCATGAATACAATGCGACAAGCTTTATTCCAACATATGATAAGGAAATTAATCAATTAAATTAAATAAAAGTAAAAAGACTGTAGGAATAGTCTAATAAGTGACTGCGGAAAAATGTAAGTATCGTTTTTAAATATGATGTGGGTTTGATGATTCGAAAAATTCCCCTCAGCATGTGTTAAGGATTGAAAGTTCAAAATGGATAATGTTCCTACTAACCTCGATTACTTTCGTGTTCACGATCATTGAATTAAAAATCAGTACAGTAAACTAAAATAGTTCTCCGTATACTGGATTAAGATTTAAGTAGTTCGGAGGCTAATCATAAAATTGGACCACGACTACTTCAATTTTTCCTTGAGTTGTGGAGAGGCGGGTAGTGCGAGGGGGGGGGGGGGGGGGGGGGGGGGGCCNTGGGGGGGGGGGGGGGGGGGGGGGGGGGGGGAGAGGGGAGGTGACCTGCGTATTCACCTGCCACCATTCCTTGTCATATGTTATTCGCTACTTTCGTTAGTTATCCAGGACTCGACTGTTACAGTGATCTTCAATTCCATACAGGCGTTTGGACTCCACTCCATGTCCCTTTTTTAAAAGAAATATGCTAAGGCACCACAACACATCACATCAACTTCGGTGGTGGAGGATACACGTCCGAAAACCATTTATAATAATGCCTGTCGTCTCTTTCTTATTGACGAGTTTTTCTCTCATAGGAAAAGAAACAAATTGGGCGTTTCGAGAAGGATGCTTTACTTTAGTCAGAAGTTTCTTCATTTTATTTGCTTGAGAGGTTAATCTCCGTGATGCTTGTTTAAATGAGTAGCAGCGAAGGTCTACATTGAGTGCAAGCTTCTTAGTGGAGTTTGACACATTGAATTACCTGTATCGACAAAGCCCAAAATTTGATCACCCAGTTCACCAGCACTTCTGATGAAATCTACTGTTCGAGAGCAATCAGGTCAGGTGTTTTTTATGTTGCCTACTTCTAGCAACAGCAGTCTAGTAGTTCCTATTCCAATTCTCTTGATTCTCTTCACAGTGCTTAGAATCCACCTAGCAACGAATATAATCTCCTGCCTTGTCTTCCATGAATCTGGTTGGTCCTACTCATCTATTCTCGTTGTCATCATGCATTTGAATGAAGAAAGGCTTAAGTTTTAAATGGAACGTAGTATTCATAAGCACAATTAAAATACCTGGAAGAAAGAGCCGAGTATTGTTTTATCAAAGTTATCGCAATCGTCCTATGGAGTTACGCTAGCTTAAATTCTAGGACCGTCTGATGAAGTTCTATTAATTAACATGTATTGGGAAAATGATTTTAAGTAAACTAGAAATAAAAAAATCGGTACTTAGAACTACAGTTTAAAATTAGCAAAATAATGTTTGCTTATTATAATTTCACGGTCACATTCGATAGAAAGAGGGTTCAAATTCGCAGTTAAGGAACAAACTCATTCTAAATAATTACAAAATCCGACATAGCTATGACGTGGAAACCTTTTCGTGCTCAACTGTGGGACAGTAAATTTGAGGCATTCAAGCAAAGAATCCAAATTAATAAGTGACTCAGACGCAGTAGATACTTTTTGAGCTTATAGGCGTTTGCAGTTCTCAAGAAATGTGCGCGTGTTTTTGGATGAAAGTATACTTGATGAGAAGATTTAATCTGGTTTGGAGGAAAATAAGATTAAAACGACATTAATTTTGTAGATTTGATTTGGAATTGCTGCCTTTATTCAATTAAAATAATTCCAATTTGAGAGGAAATAATCTGGTATTTTGCTGTTTAATGTTATGAACAGTACAGAATCAACATTAGATATTAATGTAAGTGCGGTTTGGCAATAACATATTGTAAATTGCAAATCGATCGAGGCCTTATATCACTAAAGTGATGACTTTATTTAGTGTTGAAGGTGCTTGAAGGTATGAAAGTGGAGGGAGAAGAAGCAGATGGTAAATCCAAGGTATCGAATGTCTTAGTTTCTTGGAAATATGGCAGTATTCGGTTGTTTGCATTGGCGAAAGGGGAATAATTAGCATTAAAATGTTCCAATGTTTTTTATCTTTCATGAAATGACATCCAGCTTCATGGGTAAGGTTTTGACCATAATATTCAGAGCTTCTAACCGATTTTCCTAATTCTCTGGTTGGTCAAGTCACCGCGATTTAAATTGACCGAGAGACAAAATCGAGTCTTTTCACTTTTCTATTTTAATGACAGCCTGGAGGACAAATCCATATTTGGAATACTTTTACTATTAGTTAAATATTTTCATCATTCTAAGCGGAATTTTAGAAGTTATAATTTTGATAGGGTTTTGTTCATTAAAAATGTATCAATAGACAAGAAAGCTGCTTTCTAAAGCTTCGCATTTAATTGGAACCTATAGCTTCCCATAAGATCACGCAGACAGATTGCATCTCTGACTCGCGAGGAAAAAAACACCAACAGGCAAATATTTTTCCAAATCTGCACATAGCTTTTATTCCTCTTGGCCCCTTTAACAACAGCAATACAATACTGGAAAAAAATTAAATACGTGCTACACAATTAAATGTTTTAAGCGATTGGCCAATAAATTTAAAGAATGCGTGGTGGGATCTAGATTTCTGCCATTCAGTTGTCATTCATTACAAGACATTGAGTTGCACGCTGTCGCAGTCGTTATGGGTGACAGGTGTCCTTTCTTATCGCAAGATAAAATGAAATTGCCGGTAAGTTACGACTTTAAAGAAAGTGAATGACTCAAATATTTTACAGGAACAAAGAAACAAATTAACCACACACAATGAATGCTTTTGCAATCAATCAACGATGAGCACAATTTCGAAAACCTTAGCAACCTCAAATATAAGTTAAGCCTATGCGTCTTAAACTGAATCGATTTAAAATAAAAGGCAGAACTTTTGTTATTTTAGAATTGGAATAGAAAAGTGATTTTTGTTTTAGAACCCTTATTATTAAATGAATAGCATAAATAAACGAATATGTATTCAATATTTCATTTTCCTCTTTTAATGTCTCACTGTTTTCACTCAGGTGTTTGAACTTCTATTCACAAAGTCAATTCTCCAAGGATTCAAGTATTGTAACATAAATAGTGTGGCTGGCTTTATGATAACGCTGTGCCGAACCAAGGATCGTTGAGGAGTAGACTGGTAAAAGAACCACCTCATTCAAATCAGGAAGAGGCTAAGACATTGGCATACTATGGGGTTCAAAAATCTATTACTTGGTGCATAGAAGGGAGGAGTCACTGAATGTCATGCAAGAATAGTTAAAGGTTTTAGAAATTAATCAATGAAATGAAACACCTGGAGTGTTTATTGAGGTAACATTCTTCTTAAATGGGTAGCAGAAGTCAACTCAAAAACACTTTATCGTACTCCGCAATCTGATAATTCATAAAATGACTCACTAATAAATATGCATTAGTTTTTGACAAGATATATCATTTAGGAGGAGAGATAGGGACGGAGAGGGAGGGGGTTGAACTCATCAACGCCAATCAGGCAACTCTCCCCCCCCCCTTCTCTAGAAGGTAAACAGTCTGATATCTTGGTCAAGCCTCTACCTGTCTCTAATCTCCCCTCATTCCCTACAGAGTCATGCTTTTAATTGGGAGAAAGATCAATATTTCCTGTTGCTCTCACGATTTGGAATATACCAGTGAATGTTATGTTGGCATATCGTTTTCTCACACTTCCAATTCACCTGACACATGTCAGTATAATATCTTCTGTGTAGACTAGTTTGATGGACAAGGGGAAGGTGAAGGGGGGGGGGCGAGAATGACTTGTCTTTGCCCTCTTTTTCATATGTTTTCTACCTTATTTATGCTCGATTTAGCGACATCAGTTAAACAATGGATTTGGACATGGCTAAAAATTGACCCAGATATGAATGGTGGGTACAAACAGGTACCCTAATGTGTCTTACTTTTGAGTCTCTAGTTCACCTGGGAAGAAGTTGAACACATGTATATATTGTAATAAGACACCGGTTAAACGGTAATGGCTGACCTAGTCATATGATTTATATACATCATGTTAGATTTCAATTTGAATTGATTTATTTTATTTTAACTGAATTCAATTAATTACAGTAATTCCAGTCTTTGTAAGGTATTTCACTTTGAGTAATTCAATAGGCTAATCTCCACCTAGAGATTTGGATATAGAGCTGTGTTTAAATAAACATCAAAGAAATGAATATGAAAATAGATTCACTGCTAATTCGGGTATAGCTACGTTGGTAAGATCACAGATCCCCAGGTTCAACTAATAATTCGGACTTCCAATGCTCGATCCGTAATATTGATGCCAAAATCAAAGCAGCTCTTGAAAAAAATTATTGATCCTCAAACGCCCAAAAGGACCGTACGGTCCTCTTTCAAAATAAGCCCAATTGGTACTAGACTCATAACAGAAGGGAAAAGAGTGGACAAATTACATTAGAGAGCAAAAAATAATTCGGTCATTGCCGTATTAAAATAACAGCAACAATTAATTTTTTTCCCGAAGTTAGACATTCACCCTCTTCTTTCTTATTAACCTATTTTCTCCGACTCGTTCCCAAAAAATGTAGATAATAATACAATTTCTCGAAGAGTGTAATAAATACCTACCTTGAGTGGTTGATTTAATGATTTGTTGAGCCAATATGATGCGAATTAACAACACAGTTCTTTGCTGCACAAACAATAAATTCTTGACAAAGAAGATGCGCTAGACCTCTACAACCTGAATATATTGACTAAACTGAATTAAAAGTGTAATTATGAATGTTCCCTTCGTGCACAATTCCATCCGATTAATTTAACTATTGGTCTTAATTCCAATCTCCTACCATCTGATGCCCCAAGTCAAGATGGCTATGCCCTTCTGAAAGGTCATTTAACAATCTTAACACTTTCTTCCAGTATATCCTTTGTTGACAGTTGCATGCCTCTTCGCCACTCTCACATCTTACATAAAAACCTTTGATCCGAAGACTTCATGGTTAGGGAAAATGAATTTCAGTCAATGTAAGAAATAAACATAAACAATCAATTAATAACAATTGCTCCGTCGGATTGCGTTGCAATTAGCATTTCGAGATTATATTGAATACAACTTTTCCTTAGCAAAACAAAACAAACGTTCCGTTTTATTCAAAATGAAATTTTAGCAAATATCTGATGGGCCTACCGCTGAGGTCATTTAAACAGTCGCATAAATTAGTTAAGTGGATGATTGAA